TGGAGGGGCTGGTGAGCTTCAGGGGGAGCATCCCAAGGTTCAGTCTGCTCTCCAGAGCAGGGAAGCAGCACTGGTGCTGCAGCAGACACACTGGGAGGTGTTTTTTCCTTTGACATTGCAGCAAATGAGGGGACAAGAGCTGTGTGGAGCCTGGGGCATACACCCCCAGGGCATACAGGGTCTGGCTGGGGGAGGAGGCTGTGAAGGGTCAGCTGCTGATGGTGATATGACCTGGGGGACTCAGAGAGTATATCTGCAGTCTCAGCATGGTCAGTGATGCCTTCCCAGCAGTGTTTCTCCCTGGCAGGTGGATTAGCTCAGGACTGTTACAGGTGATGGAGTCCCTATGCCTGGGAAAACCAAAGTCATGTATTGAGGAGGGTTTTGCCCAGAGGTTTTCAAAGATCCGTTGTTTTATTTCCTAGTGCTGGGCTTTGACAAACTTCCTCTGTGGGGTATCCTGCTAATTTCGGCGGGGAGTGCTGTTGTCTGTGCTCTCGTCGTCTGGTTCTTTGTATGTCCGAGAATGAAGAAGAAAATCGACCGTAAGTACTGCATCCCTCTGCGATCCTTGGGGAAGGGCACGCTCTGGCTAACCGAGTTCTCTTCCCAGTGGGAGATCCCATTAGCTGTGGGGCTGTCATTAGCGGAATCCTCATCTTCATTCAGGGACTAACCTACTCTTGAGTCATTGGGGCACTCATCACACTGGGCTCTGCCTGCTCCCACCCCAGGCACCCAAAACCCCTCCAGGAGCAGCTGTTGGGCTGCTGTGCAGTGTCTGGGGCTGACTGATCTGTGGGGTGATCTCTCTTGGAGCTGCTGTGGGCAGTATCAGACAGCTTGTCCCACTCTAATAGAGGAGAGAGAAGGCAAGAGACAGTGTGCCTGTTGTAACCTTTAATCTTCTCATATCTGCTGAGCAGTCCTTGGCCTGGCTGACGCAGATCACAAGTTTAAATTAAATCCTTTCCCTGTAGCAAAAGACCCAAAACACTATTGAAAGGCATCCAAAGGATCAGCCCTGAGCTTTGCCTCCAGAGCAGTGCTTGGAACTGCATGTGGTCCTGAATATCAATGATGTGTGCAAGCTGGGGCCTAGGGAGTTGGTGATGAGGGGATGTCCTTGTGCTGGTGTAATTGGGGTGTGACTAACAGCTTTATGGCTGCTCTTGACAATCCTCCAGCTGTTTAACTTAACTCCTGCCTGTGAGGTGAGGTGGGCTCTTCTGCCTGTCAGACATGCTCCCTGCCTGCCCACGGCATCCCTGGGAGGAAGTGCGCATGTACAGAGAGATAGTTCTGCTGGGACTGGATGCCAGGATGAGGGGTTAATTCCACAAACCAGCCCTTGAAGGAAACAAAATGACAGGGAAATGGTCATGTTTATGACAAGACAGTGGTTTTGATTGTTGTCTGAAGGAACAGACCTCATGTTTTCACCTGGAGAAAACGTGCTTTTCCTGTTAGAGGTGGAGGAACGGCCTCAGCTTCCACGGGTGGGTGCTGCTGGCTTGCTTCCCTAGGCTAGACAGGAAACCAGGCTGCCTTTGGGTGGTGGAGACCAGCTCCTGTTTGGGTTTGTCATCCACCAGTGGAAGCTGGAGAGGAGCCCAGGCTGGTGCTGCTGGGCTGGTAGAGAAGCTGGGCTCTTCTGGGTACCTTTCTGTCAGCTGTAGGGGTCATAGCCACTCCAAAAGTGGGTCTAGAGCATCCCACTGGCCACAGGGATGGGACAAACATGGCCCAAAAAGCCCCATAATGGTGTTCACCACACCCCGTGTGGGTGGGGGTGTCTAAAAATAGGGGATGAGCTGGCTTAGATGGTTTGGCTGTTGTGCCCAAGACAAGGTCTGACTGTCCAACAGTTTCCAAAGTTCAGGATGGGGAGGAGCTGTAAATTTTATTTAGCTGCCATAAATCTGAGTGGCAAAGGGTGTGGGCTTGTTGCTGCTGGCACTGGGTGCAGTGGTGGAAAGGCTGCCCCTCTTCACAGGAGAGATAAAATCAAGTCCTTCTGAAAGCCCCTTGATGGAGAAGAACATTTGCCCAAAGGAGGAGCAAGAGGAGGCCAAGATGCCCCTGGGGGATGCCAAGGGCCCTGCTGATGATGCAGGGTCGGCTGTCCCCCCCCGCGCAGTGGTGGAGGAGAAGATGGTCTCCTTCAACCTGGGGGAGCTGGAGGAAGCCCCGGAGCAGGAGAGGCTTCCCAGCCTCGACCTGAAGGAAACAAGCATTGACAGTGGTGAGTAGCACGGGGTGATACGCATGGTAAGACTTCCCTAACACCAAGCACCCCTTGGTGCTAACCCTTCCACCTGCTGTCCCTGCTGGCAGGAGCTGTACGGCTGCCCAATGGCAACTTGGTCCACCTGAGCCAGGCAGTGGGCCACCAGCTGGGCTCAGGTGGGCAATACCAGTACCACACTGTGCACAAGGACTCTGGCCTCTACAAGGAGCTGCTGCACAAGCTGCACCTTGCCAAGATGGGGGACTGCATGGGGGACTCGGGGGACAAACCCCTGCGGCGCAATAACAGCTATACCTCCTACACCATGGCCATCTGTGGCATGCCCCTGGATTCTCTGCGTGCCAGGGACAGCGAGGAGGGGGAGAAGCTGAGCTGGTCTGTGGTGGACACTAAGAAGAGGGTCCGCATGGACAGCTACACGAGCTACTGCAATGCAGTGGCAGATGCACACCCGGCTGCAGATGTGGACCTGAACACAGCCCAGGCAGAGCTGGGTGCCAGTGACCACAAGGGCAGCAGTAGCTCCCTGGAAGAGTGGCATGAGCAGGACAAGCCTGAGGTGTCCCTACTCTTCCAGTTCCTGCAGATCCTCACAGCCTGTTTTGGCTCCTTCGCTCATGGTGGTAATGATGTCAGGTCAGTGGAGTTAGGGGGAGCCAGGGAGGCTGCTAGCTGTCGTGAGTGCTCATAGAATCATGGACTCAAACTAGTTTGGGGTGGAAGGGACCTTAAATACCATCTTGTTCCAACTCCCTGCCATGGACATGTTCCTCTTGACCGGGTTGCTCCATGCACCATCTAACCTGCCTTTGAACACTTCCAGGGATATTCTATCTTGCCAAGAGCCTTTGTCCCTCTAGACCAGATCCCATTTCTCTTCCAGCAATGCCATTGGGCCCCTGGTTGCACTCTTCCTGGTCTACCAGACGGGTGATGTGGCTACCAGGGTGGCAACTCCCATCTGGCTGCTTCTCTATGGGGGTGCAGGGATTTGCATTGGCTTGTGGGTCTGGGGAAGGAGAGTCATCCAGACGATGGGGAAGGACCTGACTCCCATCACACCATCCAGGTAAGGGCTACCATGGAGCAGAGAGGATGTTCCAGGCAGCCTGAGAGCTGCGTTCTGCTCCAGGAGCCACTCTCCCTTCTCTTGTGGGTTTCAGTGCTGGAGCTGGGGTGTGTGTGGCTCCAATACCTCGCTGCATCCTGGGGGGTTCATCTGGGGCTCTGGAGAGCCAAGCTGTGCTGCTTTGAGCTGAGCCCACTGGGTGTTTTGGGGTATCCAGTCCCCTATTCTGATCTGCTTTCTGTCCCTGCAGTGGCTTCAGCATTGAGCTGGCATCAGCAGTGACAGTGGTCATTGCCTCCAATGTTGGCCTCCCAATCAGCACAACCCACTGCAAGGTAGGAGGGGTAGCGGGGGGATAGCTTTGGCTCAGTATGAGCTCAATGTTCCCAAATCCTGGTGCTTGAAGGGCTGAGCTGTGTGGGAGGCCCCACTCTGGGCTGCTGGCCACTGTCAGCTCCCAGCTCTGCCACTTGCATCTCAATGTGAGGTGGCAGTGGCTGCCCAGCCTTGGGGTGGTGGGTCCCTGGGGCACTTGGGCCATGATGGGAGAACAAAACCCCTTTCAGGGTCCCCTAGGCTCTGCCAAGAGGCCATGGGAACCTAAGTTCTGTGGGGTCCTGGTCCTGTCACCCCTCAGGGGTGCCAACTCCTTGCCCTGCACTCCCTGCTTGTGCTCTTGTAAGGTCCCCACAGGCTGGAGCAGGATTCAGGGCTCTGGCCTTGGGGGGTGAAGGAGCGCATGTTTGGGGAGTGCAAATGCCTGCTCTGGTGCTGAGCCATGCCCTGACTCCTTGGGCAGGTGGGCTCAGTGGTCTCAGTGGGCTGGCTGCGCTCCAGGAAGGCAGTGGACTGGCGCCTCTTCCGAAACATCTTCATGGCGTGGTTCGTCACTGTCCCCATCTCCGGCCTCATTAGTGCTGCCATCATGGCTGTCTTCAAGTTCGCTGTCCTGTGACGGCACCAGGGCTCCCACTGCTCCTGCTTCCCACTGCACTGCTATATCCTCCCTTGAGGAGCCACTGAGGCTGCCTGCTGTGGGGTGGCAGCTGCGCCAGCTGCGTGTAGTGCTGTCACTGAAGTATCTTTTTTTTTTTATTTTTTAAATATAACTGTCTTGGCGCTAACATTGTGGGGGGTGTGCTGCCAGGGCTGTATCTGCCCCCAGGTGACCCCCCTGATCTGCTGTAGCTGTAGATAAGCAGTTAGTGGGGGTCACTTTCTCACTTCTACTGAGCCCCTGGTAGTGATTTCTTGGGGGAAAGACAGAAGTTGGTCCTTGCCGGCCCCAGAACAAAGGGCTGGGGAGTCATGGGATACCCCTCTTGCAGGCTGTGCAGTGTTCAGCTTTGCCTCCATTGCCGTAGTGCTGTGGACACCATCCTGCTCGGGGGCCCTGGGGGCTGCCCTCTGGCCTCCTGTCACTGCTGCTACCTCGAACTTAATAAAGATTTCCTTCGTATGCCAGTGCTGCCTGTGGTTCTGGGGATTTTGGGATACGGTGGGGGCCAAGGTGCTTCCCCGTAGCCCTCCCTGCTTTGGCCCCGTGCTCTGCGAGGGAGCTGGGGACAAAGATAAGAGCCTCACGTGCCCCCTGTATCAGGGGAGGGGCTGTAAACAGCCCTGGGTTATCGGGGCCCTACACCTGGGGGCGGCTGCCCCTCTCATCGGCCCCGGCCCCGGTGTGGGGGGAAGGTGTGGGTGTGATCGCGTGTCCACCTGTGTGTCCGGCCGTGTGTCTGTCCCTCGTAGCCCTGGGACAACAGTTGCTCCGCCGCCCTTCCATGTGCTGTGGGATGCTCCTTCCTGCCTGGGTCAAGGCCGGGCCCAGGGCCTCACGTCAGCGGCCTCGGGGTGTCGCAAGAATGTCGGTGGGGGCAGCCGGGAGTGCTGAGGGAGGGGGACGGTCCTATGGGGCGACACACGTAGGTTTCGAGAGGTGCTTTATGTGCTGCGTGGGGACGCTAACGCAGCCCCGTAGGGCGGGGGTGCCCGATCCTGTCCCGATCTCCCCGTTATGAAGCCGGGCCGTATTCGCTGCGTC